AGGTCCCGGAGCGTGACCACCAGTACGACCACCAGTACGACCTGTACGACAACCTATGCGGCGTCGGCGACTACCATCAGCACTACCAGAACGACCAATACGACCATTAGTACGTGGTCGACGACCGCCTGCGAGAGGTACCACCAGGGCAACTAAAGCCACCAGCTGAGCTACGAGTGCCACCAGCTGGGCTGCGAGGGTCCCTGCCTGAGTTACGAGGGCCACAGGCAGACCCCCGGGAGCTACCAGCAGGGCCACAGCCAGAGCTACGATACCCACCATCTGAGCTACGAAGGCCACTTGCGGATCTACCAGAACCAAGTTTGGCTGTACGAAGACCTGCGCCTCCCCTGCCCCCTCGGGCGCCTCAACCCGAGGTAGACCTGGGCAGAAGCCCCAAAAAGAAGACGCAAATGGGTATCCCCCCACGCGGCGGCTCCCCGCACCTAGCTTTACGGGCTACGTTGCCAAGGCAGACGAGGAAGTGACCAAGCAGGAGGCAGACGGGGAAGGAGGACGACGACACGGAGCTGCGAGGGCCACCTGCTGAGCCATGAGAGCCACCAGCAGGGCTACCAGGACCACCTGCTGGGCTACCAGGACCACGGGCTGAGCTACCGGGGCCACAGGCAGAGTCACGAGGGCCACGAGCCGAGCTGCGAGGCCCACCAGCGCAGCAACGAGGGCCAAAACCTGAGCTACGCGAGCCACAAGCAGAATGCCAGGAGCCTCCTGCAGAGCTACCAAGGCCACCAGAAGACCATCGAGGCCCACAAGCTGAGCTACGAGGGCCACAGGCACAGCCACGAGAGCCACTAGAAGAACTTCAGGACCCACCTGCTGAGCTGCGAGAGCCACCCGCGGAGCTGCGAAAGCCAGAAGCTGTGATGCGAGGCCCGCGAGCTGAGCTACGAGAGCCACAAGCAGGGCTACGAGGACCACCAGCTGAGCCACGAGGGCCACCAGCTGAGCTACGATGGCCACGAGCAGAGCTTCGAGGGCCACCGGCAGAGCCACGACGGCCACCTGACAAGCTACGAGAGCCACCAGCAGAGCTACGAGGACCGCAAGCTCAACTACGAGGGCTACAAGCAGGGCTACGAGGACCACCAGCTGAGCCACGAGGGCCACAAGATCAGCTGCACGGTCCACCAGCTGAGCCGCGCCACGAGGACCACAAGAAGGGCTACGAGGACCACAACCTGAGCTACGGGAGCCACTGGCAGAGCTTCCTGCGCCACATGCTGAGCTACCAGAGCTTCCAACAGACCTACGAGGACCATCAGCAAAACTATGAGGACCACAAGCACAACTACGAGGTGCACAAACATGACTACGAAGAGCTCCAGCTGAGCTACAAGAGGCACCAGGGGAGGGACCAGGGCCACCTGCTGAGCTACAAGAGCCACTGGCAGAGCACAAGTTCCACTCGCCGAAGGGCGCACTGCGAGACTTATCGTCTTGAAGGCGCGGAGAGACCTCAATGGGCTCGAAGGCGTACTTGGCTCCTGCGATGCTGGTAACGGGCGCTGGGCTCTTCGGTCCGGCACCACATCCATGAGCGCCAAGCCGGACAACCTCGAAGCAACTGGTGGGAATACGAAGCGCCAGCTTGGCGCTATCTTCCAGAGGGCTGCCGAGTCTTTCCAGTACTACAATGTGCTCCAAAAGGATGGTGTGTTCCAGAAGCTGTACGACATGGCAGCCGCGGAAGGGCAACCAGGCGTATCGAACTTCCTCCTGACGCAGTGTGACGACGAACGTACATTCGATGTGATATAACATCGAATCACAGACGCCCGAATGAGGATGACTACTGGGAACTACCAAGTTACCCAAAAAAGTCGGTATCTCGTTACTAGCTACCGAAACGTGCGACGTCTTCAGCGCTACGGACGAGGTACGCCGTGCACAACGTTGCGCGCAAGGTGCGCCGTGTTCGTCGTTACGTGCAAGGTACGCCGGCCCCCGCTTGAACCACAGCATCACTTGAGCGGCCTGGCCGCTCCCTACCTCCCTCTCTTCCTTGTTTTGATTCTCAGGAGATTCGGTTGGTTGGCGGTCTCCTTCCCTTCTTCCCCTCTGGAATTGGTCCCCCGGTGGCGTCCGGGGGGCCTCACTCACGCGTCGGCAATGCGCCGTCCGCAGGGCCCCGCGCGGGCGCGGGCTTGACTTGGGACGGCAGAAGCCGCTGCGAGAGAGAGAAAGAGGAGGCGAGTAAGAAAGTTAGACTCGACGTGCCTCAGGGCGCACCGACTGAGCCCGAAGGCGGCAAGCAAATAAGGAGGGGGGCTAAATTCTTGGAGAGCGCGCCCAGAAACCTTGGCGGACGAAGAAGGGTATGAAACCTTCCTTTGCGCCATCGGGGACGCCTGTCGCAACGTGGCTGGATGATTTACCCCCCCCACGTGCCGCCATGAGGGGATGATCCAAACGATTTCACCGCCAACGAAAGGCCAGACTTCGCGAGCAGCGCTGCCGAGCATTCGAATGATTCTGAGACGCATTGTATGGCACTGCCTGACAACCCTGCCCAGCACCGCCCTCTGCAAAGCAGCGCTGGCCCTGGCCGCGCACCAGCGTAGTGGGGTACGCAGCCATGGCGCCCGCAGAGCATACATATATATATATATATTTATGTATGTATATATGTATAATTGTATATAGGTATAAATATATATACAAAACTGCATTGGCGCTGCGCGCCATGCACGTTGGTCCTTTGAGTTCCGCACGCAAGCGGAATGCGTGCGTGCGTATATGCGCGCATGCATGTATACACGCGCGCGCATGCACGTTCCGTGTATATATATATATATATATATACATGTCTAGGTGTATGCAATCTACTTACACTGTTGTATGTGTGTATACAGCGCACATATGTACATAGAAATTCATGTGTGTAAGGGTATGAACATGCATATGCAACTAGTACGTGCTTTGTCGGTGCACGCCCATCTGTATACATATATCTGTATATGTATATGTATAGAGCTATCGGTTCGCATACACATGCGTATCTCAGGCGGTAGTGGCCTGACCAGTTGCTCAGGGCATCTCGCAACTGAAAGGTGCGAGGGTCTCAAGCGAAAATGGCCAGATTACCATGGGACAGTGCATCGCCGAGGTCAGTGTCCGAGGATGACTCAAGCGAAAATGGCCTGAACACTTCCGCTGAGCAGAATCAATGAATGTTGGCATTCGGAAACATCGTGGGGGTGTTTTCGGGGCCCTCGTGGGCCGTTTTGGCGCTTTCATGGGCCGTCCTGGGGCCTTCTTGGGCCGTCTTGGGGAGCTTGGGCCCGCTGGAGCCCCCTTTGGATCCATCTGGGGCACTTCTGGGGACCTCCCATGGCCCTTTTGGGTCTGTGCTGGGAGCCCTTGGGGGGCCCCTTGGTTCTATCATGGGCTGTCTTGGGGCTCTCGTGGGCGATCGTGGGGCCCGGCTCGGCCGTCTTGAAGCTTTCTTGGGGGCTTTTTGGAGCGTCTTGAGGCGATCTCGGGGGCTTTGAAACCGTCTTGAAAGCTGATGACATCCGAAAGGCGAATATGCTAAACCTGTAAGTTTTACGAAGGAGGCCACTTGGAAAGCTTTTTGGGGTGCCTTGGGGGTCTTTATGTTGGCATTCGGAAACATCGTGGGGGTGTTTTCGGGGCCCTCGTGGGCCGTTTTGGCGCCTTCATGGGCCGTCCTGGGGCCTTCTTGGGCCGTCTTGGGGAGCTTGGGCCCGCTAGAGCCTCCTTTGGATCCATCTTGGGCACTTCCGGGGACCTCCCATGGCCCTTTTGGGTCTGTGCTGGGAGCCCTTGGGGGGCATCTTGGTTCCATCATGGGCTGTCTTGGGGCTCTCGTGGGCGATCGTGGGGCCCGGCTCGGCCGTCTTGAAGCTTTCTTGGGGGCCTTTTGGGGCGTCTTGAGGCGACCTCGGGGGCTTTGAAACCGTCTTGAAAGCTGATGAAATGTTTTACGAAGGGGACGAAACGATTTTTGTGTTTTGAGAGCCCCTTGGGAAGCTTTTTAGGGTGCCTTGGGGGTCTTTCTGTTGGCATTAGGAAACATCGTGGGGGTGTTTTCGGGGCCCTCGTGGGCCGTTTTGGCGCCTTCATGGGCCGTCCTGGGGCCTTCTTGGGCCGTCTTGGGGAGCTTGGGCCCGCTGGAGCCTCCTTTGGATCCATCTTGGGCACTTCCGGGGACCTCCCATGGCCCTTTTGGGTCTGTGCTGGGAGCCCTTGGGGGGCCTCTGGGTTCCATTATGGGCTGTCTTGGGGCTCTCGTGGGGCCCGGCTCGGCCGTCTTGAAGCTTTCTTGGGGGCCTTCTGGGGCGTCTGAAGGCGATCTCGGGGGCTTTGAAACCGTCTTGAAAGCTGATGAAATCCGAAAGGCGAATCTGCTAAAATTGAAAGTTTTACGAAGGGGATGGGACGATTTTTGTACTTTGAAGGCCCCTTGGAAAGCTTTTTTGGGTGCCTTGGGGGTCTTTTGGGCCGTCCTGACGCACTTGGAGTCCCTCTTGGAGCGCTCTTGTGCTGTTTGGGGCCTCCCTTGAGCCTTTCTGATGACCCATCGGATCGCTCTGGGTCTGCTGGCAAGGCTTTGTGGAGACCCAGAAAGCCGGGTGACCTTTTCCAAGGACGTCCAAGGGAGCCCGAGAACCCCAGATCCCGGGGGTCCAGTTTTGGGGGGTGGGGGAGGGTTTCCTTCCCCCCTGGGCTTGTAAAAATATAGGAAGAGGTATATATTTACATATATATATATGTATATATATATATATATATGGATATGCATATATATATATATACATATATATATAGAGAGAGAGAGAGAGAGAGAGAGAGAGAGAGAGAGAGAGAAAAGAGAGAGAGAGAGAGAAAGAGAGATAGAGAGAGAGAAAGAGAGAGAGAGAGAGAGAGAGAGAGAGAGAAAGAGAGAGAGAGAGAGAGAGAGAGAGAGAAAGAGAGAGAGAGAGAGATCGGCGGCAAAGGAGGTCCGCTCGCGCCTGCGGCCGCGGCGTCGCGAACACGCGCTCGATGATGGCCTCCCGGCCGAAGGACTCAGAACATGTTGGGCGTCCGAGGCCATATTTCTTCGTATTTGTTATCAACTCGGGCTCGCCTGGGGGCCCTCCCTTGTCTGTGAAGAACTGGTGTGTGCCCGGGAACTGGTCGTCGCGGCCTTCCTCGGGGTTCCCCAGTCTTGTTTCCATGCAGTGGCCTTCCTCAGGGGTTCCCCTGTCTTGTCTCCTTACACGGCGTTGCTAGGTCTTGCCTCCTCCAAACGGAGGTCCCTGGGGCTGCTGTCCTTCTGTCTGACAAGGCGTTGTCCGGGGTTGCTTGGTTCCCCTGGGTTGCTCGGTCGTGTGCCCCTGCAAGACCCCTCTGGACTGCCTGGGTTGCCCGGGATGTCCCAGTCAGGGGTCTTGGTGGCTCGGTTCCCTGGTCCGGGTTCCATGGTTCCGTGTGCCCTGGTTCCTTGGTTTCTTGGTCCTCGTTTCCAGGTTCGTCGTTCTTCGCCTGAGCATCGTTGCTTTCAATCAGTGCCAGCTTGGACTTGCTTGCCAGCTGTAGACTAACACGTGACACGCGACACGCACGGGCTGGGGTGCCCAACCTGAGCTAAGTAAGAAGGGATACGCTTCGGTTTCTAGGATTCGTGATGTCACACGCTTCTCTTAAGCTTGAGTGGCTTCGCTTTGACGGTGCGGGGCAGCGCAGAGCAACATGTGATACGGTCAGGATGGGAATGCTAGATGTAACACGCTCGCGGCTAATTGCCCAGATGATTGCCCAGCTCAAACTAAGAGTAGAGGAATAACACACTGCATGTTTGTCAGCGTGGGCCCCAAGCAGCGTGTTTCCAGCAGTATCGGTTCTGAAATCTAGGTGGAGCAATATAGGTAGTGCAATCTACGTGGTGCAGTCTATGTTGTGCAACACATGTCGTGCAAACGATGTTGCGCAAAACATGCGTGCAATGCATGTCGTGCAACATGTGTTTGCAAACCATATGGTGCAAGATATGTGGTGCGATACACGTGGTGCAATCGATGTGCTGCAATTTATTTGGTGCAATATATACGGTGCAATCTATGTTGTGTCATCGGGGCGGCGACAACGAGCACGTAGCCGCCAGACCGGCACACAATTCCAGACGACGGGCGGCGACGAGGCGGCGGCGACGGCAGGCAAGGAGCAGCCAGACCGGCACGCACGCCCAGTTCCTTAGAAACACACTAGAACCCCTGAGTGCAAGCTCTGTTTGGGAAACAGGCGAACTTTCGACCGTCCGCGCGGATTTCTCGGATCGGCGCTGGACCCCCCTCCCTGGCGCGCGGAACGTGTCAGGGGCGGCGCTGGAGGCGCCGCCAGGGGGCTCCAGCGCCGATCCGAGAAATCCGCTTGGAGCCCCGAAAGTTTATGCTCATGCAGTTTTTTTGTCTTTCGATCGCAAGTGACATGTTGCAGCTCCCATGTGCGGGAAGACGACGAAGCACCGCAAGGCGACGCTTGCCCTCCGTCGTTAGAGGGCCCAAGCACGCGGGGACTCGTGCAGCTCTGCTGCGGACACGCCATGCACCCGCCGCTCGCCGCGCCTGCCCCAGCGAGCGCTGCAAAGCCTTACGAGCATCTGTTCTTACTTACTCGTTCGTGCTTGCTCGGGAAGCTTTCTCCTAACTGGGGTCGTCGTCGTCGTCGTCGTCGTCGCCCCTTGCAAGGCGCCATCCTCCCAGGGAGGCGTCGCCGGTGCTGCGCTGCCACTGCCCGAAGTGGCTTTCTCCGCCGCCGCTGCCGTCGCCGTCGCCGTCACCGCCCGCGGTCGCCCTCGACTTCCTCGCCCTCCTCTTCCTCCTCCTCCTCCTCCTCCTCCTCCTCCTCCTCCCCGCCTCCTCCTCCTCCTCCTCCTTCTCCTCCTCCTCCCCGGCCTTCTCCTCCCCCTCCTCCTCCTCCTCCTCCTCCTCCTCCTCCTCCTCCTCCTCCTCCTCCTCCTCCTCCTCCTCCTCCACCTCCTCCTCTTCCTCTCTTCCTCCTCCTCCTCCTCCTCCTCTTCCTCCTCTTCTTCTTCCTCCTCCTCCTCCTCCTCCTCCTCCTCTCTGGCAGCGTGCCAAGGCCAGGTGCACCTGGGCGCTCGCTGGCAGGCTGGCGGGCGCTGTAAAAACAACCTGCTTTAGAAAAGCTCTGTGGCCCTGCCAGCGACTCAGCTCGGGCCGACGGGTAGTCCACAAGGGTGCAGGTTATCGTTAGCGACGGACTGGACGCCCACCGAGGATCTTGTTTTCCCAGGCCGCGGCGTCAAGCAGCATCAGTTCTGCTTCGCCTTCTCACGCTCGTCCTCTTCCGCCCACCTCCACCCCAGAAGCGTCCACAAACTTCCAAGCACCTTCCGAGCATTTCGCCGGCGAGAATCTATGGCCAGACCGCGGCGGCGACGACGGTGAGGGCGGCGGCGGCGGCGACGACATGACATCTTTGTTTTCTGTTCGAACTGCTGGAAGGCTCGAGCTAGGTAAATTGCAATGCCTGGAACGCACGCCGTGGGCTGCTGGAGAGCATGCGCGTTGTCGGCATGGACTGCTGGAGAGCCCTCGCTGTATAAATATCGGGTGCTCGAGCGACACTCCGTGCAAGGCTTTCGAAATATACATTTGGAGGAGGCGACGGGGTTGGAGGGCGCGGGTGGCGGGGGTGCTAGCATTGTGCTCACGCCTCGTTCTCACAAGGATTACGGACGCAGCGAGGAGCAACGCGCGAATTTAGCCCTAGATGCGTACGCATAGCTTATCGTTTCCACTCGCAACAATATTCGACTGACTGTAAGCCATGGCCATCTTGGCTCCGTGGCCATCATGGCTTCCTCCCGCCTTTCGAAATAGACCCTTCTGAGTGGCACCCCGCTCGGGGCGTGGCAAACCAAACCACCTGCTGGACCTCTCGGAAAGTCGTGGACATGCCGTGCCTATTCCCCAATCTCCTGCTATACCTGGATGCAGGTACGGGACGCCGCAAGGAACCAATTCCCATCCACCCTACCTGGATGCATGTACGGGGCGCTACAGGGATCCAGCTGGAAGCTGCAGAACCTGCTGGCAGGAGCAGGCAGCGGGGGGCACGGAAGCAGCGAGCTGTATGTGTATGTGTGTGTGTGTGTGTCTCCTCGGCGCCCTCTACCGCTGGCAAGATCGCTACATTGCTCCCACCGCCGACCCATCCGACTGCGGTGACATCTTCGAGGCGCTGCTCTGCTTCCTCGCAGGCGACAACACCCAGGTTCGCGCCTGGCGCCGCTCCATCGGCCACCTCAGCGGGTGGACCGACGAAGACGCCATCAACGCCTGCACGGCCTTGCAAGCGGTCTGTGGGGCTTGCAAGTCTATCGCCTACCGAGTCGCGCCCGACGGCGAGGCCGGGGAAGGGCGGCAGCGCGGACTGGCCTACCACCCTGGAGGCCTCCAGGCCCTCGAGCGCGCTGTCCCGTCCGTGCGGAGCCGGCTGCCTACCGAGGGCTGCTGCCCGTGCGCCAGCCTCGTCGAGAGGGGCCGCGCGGCCTCCCCCCCCGTGGGCTGCCGACGACCGCTTTGGGGTTCCGCGCTCCGTGCTCCCGCCCCCAGGGCCCGTCCGACGGGCGCCCGCTTCGCCCACCGTTCATGGACCACAGCGGCTGCCCTCCCTACCCACCCTGCTTGTCGGTGCGACGAGTGCATGGTGCGCTACGGCCCCCGCGACGACCGCGGCCAGCCGTCTGGCCGGTGGGCCTCAGTGGACTTCAGCACGGGAATCACCGCTGCCAAGCGCCAGGTCTACTACAGCAGGTCATCCGCGGCCTGGCTCTGCCGCGGGTGCGCCGACTCTCCCGACGGACGAGAGCGGCCACTTCGACCTCGTGCCGCCGCCCGCTGGCCCCGGGCTGACGGCCATCCCCCCCACGTAGGGGGCTGGCTCTTCGCTCCCGCGATCGGCGACGACGGGGTCGCCAGGCGACCCGCTGGGCCCGACGCCCGTGAGGCACTCCCCACCAGCTTGCACCAGCTGCTCGTCCCCAGGATCGACGACGATGACCCCGACCACACCCAGACACTAGAGGCCTCCTATATGTGGTCGGAGTAGATGGGGTCGGAGGATCGCGCCGCATCGCCGATACATCGGCGATGCATTGGCGATGCATCGGCGATGCATCTGCGACGTCGGCGATACATCGGCGACGTCGGTGTGCGGAAACACGGGCTCTACATCGAGCTGCATCGTCGATGCATCGGCGATGCGGCGCGATCCTCCGACTCCATCGATAGGCCTAGACACACCCAGACGCCCATCTGGGTCCGCTCCACGTTCGACCACAAGTTCGGGGTGCTTCGTACGCTTCGCTGCGACCTCTGCACCAGCGGACTAGACACCTCGTTCCTTCCCCGACGCCCACCGCGGCGGCGGGCCAGTCGGGGCTTTCGTGCTCCACGCCGCGCCGGGCCGTGGCTTCTCGTTGCTCGGCGGCCTCCCCCTGTGGTCCGACCTGGCGGCACGGGCCTGCTCCCGCTGCTGCGCCGAGCGCTTCAGCCCAGAGGGGAGGCCAAGGCCGTTCTCAACGCCTGCGCGGCCGAGATCTCTGCGCCCAACTGCCAGCGGCCCCCCCACGTGGTCGCGCCCCCCCCCCCCCCCCCCCACGGGATGGCTGTGCCAGCGCCCCAGCGCCCCCGCCTTCCTGACGCCCTTCCAAGCCAGGGATGCGAGGCCCCCCCGAGGCCCCGGGATTCCGCTCCCCGTGCGACCCCTGCGCCGCCGCAAGGCCTGCCGTGGACGCGCCACTCCCCAGGCTCGCTGTGCCCCAGCGCCTGGCCGCCGAGCAACGTCGCCGGCACCTTCGCGGCCCCAGGCTCCGCTACGCCCAGGGCGCGTGCTGCTCCCCAACTGGCCCTGCAAGCTGGTCGCTCGCCGGCGGGCGCCGTTCGGGCGGCAGCTCCGGTGCTCGCCAGGTGGGACCCCGCCCGCGCGGCGCCCCGCGAGCCCGGCCACGCCCGCCCCCCGCGCGGTGGCGCCCGGCGGCCGAGCG